GGTTATCCCACTTACCGACGGAGATCACCAGATGATGGAGGTTATACTGCAATATTAAAAGTTCGTGGTCAAACAGAAATCGTGGTTGACAACCGTTGAGTTGTACCGTATTGTCCAGTGATCAGATAGAGCTACTTTTTCTATTAATCGTGGAAACGATGAGATTACAAATTATTTGAATGGTCGATACATATGTACTTCTGAAGCGTTCTGGAGAATTTTCAATTTTGAAATCCATGATAGAGATCCGATAGTTCAACACTTGGCTGTTCATCTAGAAAATGGACAGCGTGTTTTCTTTAATGCTAATAATCTTCATCAAGTTATTGAAAATCTAAGAAAAACGACACTAAATGCATTTTTTGAACTGTGTTCACATGATGATTTTGCGAAAACACTGTTCTATCATCTTTAACCATTCAGACCGGCTACCCGCCCCGACATTCTATGCCCCCGAATGTTCAGTACTCATTCCGTATGAGGATTTGCGTGCAGCGCGAGCAACCCTACCCGAGTTCTCCGGAACGAAGGCGGAGGACCCCGTACGGTTTTTGGAGAATACTGAATCGATTCTAGGACAGGCTAGAATACCACCAGCGGGTTGGACAAGAGACAGCCAAAAAATGGTGGACCTCGATCAAAATCCTGGACCTGTCCTGACATGAATTTCGGTCCGAATTTTTAGAAAATTTCCACAACGCCGAAATTCAGACACAGTTACGGGCAGAAATAGTTTCTGCGCGACGGTCCGAAAATTAAACCCCGTCCGAATTCGTCCTTGCGAAAAACTAATTAGCGTGCCGTGTTAATATCGGTCTATCTGAGCCACAGTTAGTAGGTATAATTTCGGGCCTAATGCGCGACGAATACCGGACCCACGTTCGGTTGCAGCGGCCGGTGACATTTGCCACGCTACGTCGAATAGCCACAATCCTGGCTCCCGCAACGAACCCACCAGGCCGCACACCGAATCGAGCATACCACACACAAGGGAAGAAGAGTCCTCGACAGGCAATTATCCCTAAAAAAACCACCCACCCGCCCCACCACGGAAAGTAAACCTCCACCGAGACCATGTAGATACTGCGGTGGTCACACTGGCACAGTGAGTGCCCACACAAACCGTTGTTTCCGGGAAACGGTGGGGAGGTGGAAGGGATTAATCCTCCCTACCACCTCCACATAACTCCACACCACCCATTCGAAATTACAAGGCACTCATACACCACCATTTGGCATTACGGACGGATATATTATCAACAGACACCTCCCAGGCCAATCGTACCGTAAGTCGTCTAAGTCGACTACTGGACCAACGATTACCGAACTGTCGTCTTCGGAAATATCCTCCGTCAATTCGCCCGTGGTTGCACAAAGCACCACAGCCTTCACCACAATTCCGACGTTCCAACGTACGCTCGACAGCAACAAGTCGGCTGCGTCCCTCAAATCCTAAACCTTCACCACCCCATTCACACATATCACCTCAAATGTGGTACACATCCGGCTTCAGGGGAAGTCTTAGGTGTAGGGACAAAGGTAATAGGGACAGGAACGGTTGTCACCAAAAACCACAAGGGAAGGGCAAATCACGCGTGTCCCCCCTTTCGGAAAATTCGCCTGCTCCAGTGGTCTCCGAAAACAGAGGTAATCGACAAGGATGTCCTGCTAATGGCGTTCGCCCCATTCACCAAAGACCCACCGTCGCGGTTCAGAACTACTTGCCCCGCTCGTATGAGTCCCCCACGTTTAGGAACGCTAAGCGAACACTCCCCGTCAAAATTCCGACTCCAGCAGTGGAACTCAAATTTAGGTCAATCTTCGTATAATCTTCGTATTATAATCTTCGCTACTTCGGTCACTACATCGACGACGCGCTCAATACGGTCTTCGTATTCGACGCGTGGTACAGCCGAAGGAACTCCACGAAGAAGTTCTTAAACACAAAACTCGAAGCCGAGAACATGATTGAAACCATGCTGAAGACGAAAGAAAATGGGATGTCATAAACAACCTCATTTACATGATCATCATCCACAAAAAGAACGAGGAGCGCCGCAGACAAGCAGCCCATTAACCGATTTCAAGCAAAAACCAAACTAGTTAAGCTAAATCATTGTACGCCGAGTGCACTCCAGGGTGGTTAGAGGCCCCCTACTTTGTAACCTTATCACCCGCACTTGGCCCCACCAAGTATTCCACCCACCTATTTAAAATATTGCAATTCCTTTATTTTTCTTCTTATTCAATAAATGATAGTTGCTAAGGGGTGAAATCCCTTAACCGAAAGGTCCTTCCCACCCTTAACAGCTGATACCATGAAAAAAAAAAATATATCAATTGTCAGTTATTATGAAAAAGTAATAATGGAAAACTTGTAGTGATCGTTATGACGGACAAAACGGTGGAAAAAATGTTTATTTTAGACTTTATAGAAGTGTAATATGGACTTCCGGCTCTATGAGACATTAAAAGCTAAGATTATAGTAATCGTGGTAAATGGACAAAATGACTTATTGAGAAATGTCGCGACAGCACCCGGATGCCGACAAGCAGGAAGTTATCAAAAAAATAAATTCTTTGCGGACAAACTTTCGAAAAGAATTAAAGCGGCTTCGTGATGCAGAAAAAAGTGGTACGGGTGCAGAGGATGTCAAACCTACATTGTGGTACTTTGAAGAAATGAAGTTTTTCGTTCTCAAGAAACATCAACTGTTTCAATTAGCACGATGAATGAATGTTAGGACTATATACCAAGCATTCACGAAGAGGATCACGATACAAGTTATTACAACGATGAAATAGCTATAAGTATAAGTATATTTAAATTATTATTATTACAAAATGTATATTGTCCATGTTTTCTGGGACCGAAACCTTGATAAATTGTACGGTTCCAGTTCACATTCAGTTCCCAGAAAAAAAAAATCGGTTCCGGTTTTGATGCTGATTCTAAAATAACTAAAATTTGGGTTTCGATTTCTTTTCGGTTAAAAAAAAAAAACTAAAATATCGGTTTCGGTTATTGAAATAACTATAACTTAGGTATTGGTTTATTTTGGGTTCTTAAAAAATGAAAAATTAGTTTCAAGTTTGGTATTATACTAATGTGAGAAAAATTTGGTTCTGTTTTGATTCTTTTAAAAATATTACTAGTGGTAATTATAGTCAATTATAGTGGTTAATACCAATTTTCAACCAGATATCCAACCATCATTCAAGTGGACTTAGTACTAATTAAAGGCTCAGTCAAACAGAACGCGGGCAGCCCGCACTACTGACCGTCGCGGTCTGCGATGTCAAACAACGCGCGGGCAGTCGCGGATTACGTGTCTACTACGTCTACCTACACTGTTTCTTTGTGAAAAACATTTACACTTTAACTTAATTTAATTTAAATTTACGAAAAAAAATGACATCCAGTAGTTCTGATGAAGAACTTCTTATTCTACTTGCACTGAAGAACAAAAAGAAAAGAAGAAAATGGGTGCACGAAATTAATGAAAAAAGAGAAGAATTTGGTGAGTTTCACCACCTCTGCAAAGAACTGTCAACTTACGAAGACCGTTTTGTAAATTATTTTCGTATGACTCGAGAACAATTTGAGGAAATACACGAACTCGTATCACCGAGGATATCAAAACTTACGACGAACTGGAGAAAACCTATTGGGACAAAAGAAAGGCTTGCAATTTGTTTGAGGTAAATAAGTCTTTATAAATATACACGAACTAGGTATATATGAACTATAAAAAAATTTGTATTTTAAATGATGAATGACATAAGAATATATTGTGAATATATAATGAATTTATATTTTTTTATAATTAAGTAAGTAGTATTTTTAAATATACATAAAAATTAATTTTAATTTTAATACTTTTTTAGTAGTTATTTTTCGGCTGTGTAGTAATAAATATTGATACGTTTTCATACTAATCTTTAGTCGACTGAGTACGAATCGGGTATGATCCTAGTACCAAAGAATTTGTTGATTTGGGGTGTGTATGTATGTTTGAATAATTGAGTCCTTGAATGCTATCACGAGTATCATTATCAGCTTTTCTTGTGTAGCCATCTGTGTATACGTTGGAATAGTTTAATCCTTGAATAGCATTACCAGTGTCATTTTCAGCAGCTTGGTTGGGGTTGACATCTGACCAAGACGAAATTGTGGAGTACATTGGAGAGGAGCGTGTTGAATTATGACCGTCAACCTCATTAAGTTCAGCTCGTCCAAATAACTGTGACATCTCCATTTTAAGGATAGCTTGCGTTCTTGTCGAAAATGTCTTAAACGTATGTGCATACGACAAGAAGAGATTGTCAATGTGGTCGAGTTTTGTATGAGTTTTATTGCTATTTTTGTTTTCAAGATAGCTAAGTACCGCAGCCACATCTTCTGTTAGTTCTTTCCGTTTGGTTGTTCTCTTAGGTGGTGGATTTGAGTTGGGGAAGTTACATTTCCACTATCAGACACACCCGGCTCATAATTTTCATCAGTGATCGATGTTTCGTGGATCTGTGATACTGATACGTTTGAAGTCGTTGCTCGTGGTGCTACTGTATCTCTCAAAAATTCCAAATGAGCCGCCCATGGCCAATTTTTGTATTTTTTGCCAGATCCGGTAGATCCTTTTAAATACTTTATATATTTCATATAAGAATCATGCAGGTTCTTCCATTTCTGTTTCACAATTTCAGCTGTCATATAGAACAAAGTATATACAATAAATAGGTACATAAATACTAAAAGAAAAAAATTTAAAGTATTTAATGTAAATTGTATTATATTTAAAGTAAATTTATAGTATTTAAAGTATCAACGGTTATAAGTTTTTAGTTGAATTACAAAACCTTTTTATAGTTATATGGTATTTATTGATATTTATTTATTTCAGATATTTGGCAACAGGAGATTCACATCATACTATAGGTTTTTCTTTCCGAGTCGGACGTACTACTGTTTCTAGCATAGTGAAAGAAGTATGTGTTGAGCTATGGAATGTTTTACAGCCTTTATATCTGGCTACACCTACAGAAGAAGTATGGAAAAATTCAGAAATTGGATTTAGAGAACTTTCCCAACTGCATAGGAAGCATAGACGGAAAACACGTGAGAATAAAATGTCCTCCTAAGACTGGGTCAAGTTTTTTTTGCTACAAAAATTTTTTTTCAATAGTTCTGCTTGGCATAGTAGATCCTAACTACAAGTTTTTAATTGTTGATATTGGTAGTTATGGCCGTCATAGTGACAGTAGTATTTTTGAGAATTCATCCTTTTATCGCGAGTTCATACAAGGTAAAACTATTTTACCACCTAAACCTTTACCTGGAACAACCACCCCAGTCCCACATGTTTTTGTAGGTGACAAAGGTTTTAAACTAGAAACTTTTTTAATGCGCCCATTTCCGAGAGCTGTAGTTGCACAAGATGAAGCTAAAAAAGTATTCAATAAGTGACTAAGCAGAGCACGACGTGTTGTCGAAAATGCCTTTGGTATTTTGGCACAAAAGTGGCGAGTCTTTTTTAGACCTATTGAATTAGAAGTAGATACTGCAGAACATGTTGTCAAGGCAGCTTGTTGTTTACACAATTATCTCCGAAGTACCTCTACAATTGAAAACGAACCAGAAGAAGAAGACGCTATTTCACCTACTAATGTGTTTTCTAATACACAACGAATAAGAGAGAGATCAAGTATTGCAGCTACTTCTGTTAGAGAGAACTTCGTAAATTATTTCAATTATTTTCGTAATGAAACTATCGATCAATAGTTATACTATGAATAATAATAATAATACTATGAAACAACTGCATAATAAAATTGTATCACTATATTATATAACTAATTATGTAACTAGGTAATATAACTATTTTAACTATTTTAATATATTCCTTAATAACTAATTATTATTAGGTATGTAATCTATTTTTACATATTTATTTCGTTATATTATTTAAGTATCTATCATTTTATAATTTACTTATATTATACATATAATACACATAAGTATTACTACTTTATTATTATATTACTCTACTATGCTTACTTGGCATATTGAGTATCCCGGCAATTTCATTCCACTTCTCTGTTTTTTTTACAGTATTTATATATTCACCGTGACTAGTATCATATAAATACGGATAATTGTGCACCAAATCAATTAATTTTTCAGTCTCATCTGCCATAGTGATGGATAATGAGGAATGAATAATTTGTGACTGGCCGCGTTCTCTGTAAAATATTACAAATAGACCGCAGACCGCGGCGGTAAACACGATTCCGCCGCGGCAGCCCGCGCTATTTTTAACCACGATAATGTAATCATAGATAATACAGTGCCCGCCGCGGGCAATGCGAGTTGCCCGCGCGGGCAGCCCGCGTTCTGTTTGACTGAGCCTTAAGTAAAAGTGTACTCATCGCCGTCACGACTACCCTGTTTCAAATATCGTTTCATCATTTCAAATATTATTTATGTTTTCTTACAACATTGATTAGTGAATTACCACTTGTTATATCATTGTTTAGTATTGAAATTTTTAAAATATAGCTTAGCCATACTGTACATCATATAACGATAGTTACAATCATAACATGCCTTTAAAAAGTTATTTATAGTTGTTTAGTGCGCTATGCTCAATATAAGCGATATTAGTACGGCCGCCGTAACATAACGGCCGGTCGACGACCCGAGCGTATCACCGCGGTCGGCCACACGCACACATTACATAACACACACTATCTATTTATCGTCGTCCGAAATCGTATGTTATGTAACCGAAAAGTCCGTGTCGTGTGTGTATTATTGTATTTTTCGTATGCGATTTATTCTTTCTTCTCGCGTAAACCATCGTCCGGGAAGGTTATTGAATTATATAGTTTTTACCATTTTTTTAGTGTGTGTCGTTACCTTATCGTTGTCGTCAAGTAGCCTAT